CTATTTGTGTGCTGGGCTGATTTGTTCAGCCCTAAGACAAGCATTTAATGACATGCCAGTCACTCCCCAGTCTTGCTTAAGTGTCCCCTCCAACGAGCGGGCCTAAAGAAAAATGACAGAAAATGTTCTTTAATAACTATGGTTTATCCATTTCCTTCAGAGACTAAGTGGTACGTTCTCGCCTCATTTGTTGCTTTTAATCCCAAATGGACATTGCTTTTGAAATGTCCTCTTTCTTTCTTTCTTTTTTTTTTTTTTCCTCCCTGAAGCTGCCACTTGAAAGTTGAAACTAGCAAGAATGTAATGGTAGGTACCAGCTTTCTGAATTACAGGGTGACGGCCTGAGCTGATCCTAAAAAGCAAGTGTCTTTTTATACCGCATAAAAGACTGAAGTGTTTACATATCAAAAGGCTATAGGCCAATTTCTGTCAAAATTACACATGAAGTTAAGCAGTACAAGCAATTTATTTAAACACTAGTCATTGTAGAAAAATTCAAAACCATATGCTCTTTTAGCAGTTTTTCACAAATGCATTTGACCCATGACTTGGCTAGACATACAAGCTTCATAATTTACTCTAAATTTCAAATCCCCTTGACGTTTAAATAAAAGATCTTCATTAATGAGGTTTACATGAATGAAAACTTTAGAAGCTGATACCGGTTAGCGAGAGTGCTTCGGGAACCGTCTGTGCCCTCATTTTCAAATGACTGATTTTGCTAATCATTTCAAGAGAAAGTTCCTCTGAGAACGTCATTTGAATTCTGTAATTTGCAAAAGCAACAGTGCAGTCACTTTGAAACAAACTTTGGTGCATACTCTGGCCGAAGGCAGATTTCCGCACTCCTGGAAGGCCCGAGCTTTCTTAAAAAAATAATAATAATAAATAATAATATTTTATGTTTTATTCTGAGGCCTTGGGAATGCGTGATACTTCCATACTCCTTCTGCCCACACTGTTGTGTTGAACTTTGCTAACACCTTGATTATTTCGTCTTCGGAGCTTTTATTTGTAATGTTGCGAAATTTAAAGGGACAAACTGTCAGAAAGCATCCCTACATCCTGCGAGAGGTAGAAGACGCAGCTCTTTCACGCACTGGCACACTAATGGAGTTTGCTCCGTCCCACACCACCGACCCAGCCTCGCAGGAAAAAATCTCCTGCGGCTGCCTGAGAGGTCCCCCAAGGAACCGCAGGGACATGAAATGGGTTTTAATTTGGAGATACTGTATATATATTTTTTAATCCAAATTCAAACAATAAAACTGATTCGCTCCTCTAAGATGGTGCTAGGGTTTCGGCGCTGCATACTAGCTTACTGAGGGGTCAGCGCATTGTCCCTACCCTCCGTGACCCCGCGGCTCATGAGCCCTGCGACCTGGACTCCGTTCTTTTGAAATAAACATTTCAGCTTGTTGCACATGGCACGACAAAAATCCTACTTAATCGCGAACGATCACGAACTCTGCTAGTTGACGGGGCACGAGCAGAGTGAATTAATAAAAGAAAGTTTCCGAAACGAACTGTAAAAAGTTGAATCTGCATATCATTTTTATTTTTTAAGAGAGAAAGGCGAATAGTGGGACGGCAGTTTTCTACACGCTGAAAATACCCAGACCTACTTCCAAACTTGGGCACTTGGTTTTAAATCAGAGAAGCAATTTAATCTATGCTCTCCGAATCAGTCGCGTGATGACCGCGGCGCAAAAGCGCTTTGATGAATGCCGGAAGGCAAATAGACTTGATGCGCGTGGAATCCACTGATCTAGTCTTTAATATCCTAAAAATGAGGGCTATTACCGAGACGACGGGTTCCGCCACAAACACATTTTCATAGACTTCGGCGTAGTGATTGCTTTGTGGGAAATCGTGTTTGGGTGATAATAGGGAAAATCAACGGCGTGTTTACTGCATTTCCGACCTAAGCGCTGGAGGACAGGCTCTTGAAGCGCTCCGGCCTCCCATGCTGAGCAGTGCGTGCGGGGCCGGCAAACAATCGCTTAGCAACACGAGGCAGGCAATTTGCGTGCGTCGTATTTGTTATTCCAATTGCGCCGGGTGACTAGAAGCTGCTGATTATTTGTTGAGCGCTGGGCAGACACTTGTAGGTTTCGGGCTGCGGAGGAGGCGTCGGCCTGCCTGCCCGGGGGCCTGCCTCCCAGCAGGCAATGTGGGGCAACAGCAGATAGAGGGGTAACCTGGAGGAGGAGGCTCCTCCAAAGGGGGGCAGCCCCGGAGAGCTGTTAGAATGACTAGAGTACAGTTACACCTCCCGAGAAAGGTCCCTCTGCAGAAGGGCTGAATTGGCGACCACTTGTCCTTATTTGGACCCAGTTGATGCAGGCACCCCATGCCTCGGTTGCAGGGAGGAGGTGGGGATAGTACATTCCTTTGTCCCAATGAAAAGAACTAGAAAATGTCCCGCGTCCACCCCCAACTTCCTTGGAGACAGTTACCCTGTCTTATTAAATGGTAGGGTTGAGAGACACAATGAGCGTTGGTTCGTTCAATCAGCTAAAAATAACTGCGAGTCCCAGAGCGAGGGAATGCTTTGCAAGGTAGAGATTCTGTCTAGAACTCTTTACTTCAGACTCCCTGTGAAAGTGCTCTTTTATCTAGAGGTCGGATGGCATGGTGGAAGGGATGCAGAAAAGCTAAGGGAACTGCTTGGCAGTTGGCTAACCCTGATTATTCAAAAGGAACAAAGTGCCAAGCAAAAGGAGGTGTGGGGTGTATGAGGGGGAGGGTGCTCTAATACTACTAGAAACTTAGAGGAAGTTTTTCAGGTGAAATACGAAAGTTTGAGCGCCGTCCTGGTCTGACCACGTAGGCTGAAAAGCTTGGGGCGCTCAAGCGCAGATTTGAATGCCTCCACTCGCGCGCGCCCCGCCACTAGTGCCCGGCAACCAATGCAGACGCCGCCAAAATGCCAGCTGAGTCGCAGCATCTAGTTGGCTCCCACCAAATGTCCTGTACAGTGACACCTGAAAAAGGTCGGCGGGGACTGTGTGCACCAAGAAAACAAGGATTTTTAAGTCTCTGAGCGCAGAAAAATGCCCCCCCCCCGGTCCACTTCCAATCTCAGACAGACCGCTCTGTAGGGCAGGATCACCGTACCCCCTCCCGGAGTGGTTTTTATGGTAAAAACTCAGTCTACCCCAAACTAGGGCACATCTCCGCCTTGCCTTAATCACGACCCCAACCCCACCTCTTAGTCTGCACACCACTGTTGAAAACTAGGGTTTAAGTTCCGGAGATGGTGGGCTTGAGGGCTCAGGTCCACTCCGAGAGGCCTGCAAGCAGACTCGCCGCCTCCGGGCTTCGCCCCGCCGCGCCCGCGCTTCGCCCGAGGGCTGCGCCCCAACCGAACTAACCCTGTACGCCGCCGGAGGCCCCTCTGATCCTGGAACAGCAATTAAGACTTGCCCTTTCCCCTTTTCCCCCGTGCCAGTGAGGGCAGTCCACTTACTGAGCCCGACTCCGGCGACTTCAGACAGCCGTGCTGGAACCCCTGGTTAATTAGCCAAAGAGAAATCGCGAAAACTGTATGAAGTTAAACGCGGCCTTCCTTCGGGAAACACAACGTGTCTTCCACCCTAGTCCTAGGCACTCTCGCTTGTGTCTGGCACGGCCCCTTCGCCTGGAGCAGCCGGAATGGGCTGCGCAAAGGGCCTGGGAAGGACGACTTTGTGGGCCGCGGCCTTGCGCCCGACCCGCGGGGTCCAGGGGGCTGCTTTCGTTCAGCGCACACCGCCGCCTACCTTCTCGCAGGGCACTCGGCCTCTGGCTGCGCCTCCCGTGACTCCGGCGGCCGGGCCGTGCTGCGCTGAAGTTCCCGCGAATCACGGCGGCCGCCTGCGGTGAGCAGAGCCGGGCTTGATGCAGGCCATCGGGGCCCAGGGAAGGGCCCAAACGAGGTCTGCCCTACCCAGAAACGGGCAGTTCGCAAGGGAAAAGTGCAATTCAGTTGTTGAGGAAGGGGATAGGGAAGCCTCAAAGGCCACGTCTGGATGGGATGTGGGAGCAGTGAAAAGGAGAAGATACCCTTACTTCAAAAATTAAAACAAAGGAAATCAAACCAGGAAACCTACCGACACCTAGGCTGGGATCAACTGGAAGTAAGGCTTCTGGGGGCTACTATTGGTGCGAAATTTAACTAGTGGAATTTGGTCTCCGATGTGTAGGGCCTAGGGTTCCGCACTGGTGTTCAGTGGAAACTAAAACTTTGGGGTTTTTGAGAAATAAGATGCACCTCTTCTTCCAATGTTTTTGCCTTTAAAATTTTTGACCTTATCAAATACCAAAGTTTTCAGAGGGGGGGCAGGTTAACTACTTTGGTTAGGAGAGATGCTGCAGATTAAAAAAAAAAAAAAAATGGAGGGAGGAGGGTCGAGGAGGGGCGTAGTTGCCAATCCTGTTGAAGAAGGAATTCCTCACAGATTCTAAAGCAAGTTTCTCTAAAAAAAAAAAGGGGGGGGGGAGTAGCCCCAAAGTCAAACGGGCCACAAAGATTGTGAGCTACGGGCAGAGGAAATCGCACCCAATAATAGGACCCAATCTGAGAAAAAAGGGTGGGGGCTGAGAGAGCGGGCGGAGGGGAGTTGTTAACTGCGACCGCACAATGGAATTAATGAGATTAACCAGGGCAATTAGGCCGCCGGCCCAGCACTGCCGGCCAGCGGAGCGGCCCCCGGTCTGAAAAAGATTAGGTTAATTTCATTAATTCTCAATCCACAATCTCTCTTCGGGCTGCAGAACCCCCTCCTCTTTGGCACCTCGTCCCCTCCTCCCTTCTTAATCCCCCCCCCCAAAGGAAAAGAAAGGGCCAAATCGGGTTCTGTTTGTCATCTGCCTATTACCAGGAACTAAATCCAGGATGACGTCGACTCGGTATAAAACCAACAAGAGGTTGAGCCGATTGAGCGCCGTCCTCCCGCGGGTTGAGCTGGGCGCGCGGCGGCGCGGGGCGGGCGAAGGAGGCGCGCGGACGCAGGGGGCGGGGAGGGGCGCGGATTGCGCCCTAGCCGGCCGCGTCTCTTTCGCTTTGGTCGGCAGCGGGAGGAACGGGACCCCCCCACTTGGAGGCTCTTTCTTCGGCTTGTCCCCGCCACCCCTGGTCCCAGCGCGGGGCTCGGGGATGCCCGCCAGCATGTTCAGCATCGACAACATCCTGGCCGCCCGACCGCGCTGCAAGGACTCAGTGCTGCCGGTGGCGCCCAGCGCCACGGCGCCCGTCGTCTTCCCGGCCCTGCATGGGGACTCACTCTACGGCGGCGGCGGCGGCTCTACGGACTATGGCGCCTTCTACCCGCGCCCCGTGGCCCCGGGCGGCACGGGCCTCTCAGCCGCGGTCGGCGGCTCCCGCTTGGGTTACAATAACTACTTCTATGGGCAGCTGCACGTGCAGGCGGCACCCGTGGGTCCGGCCTGCTGTGGGGCCGTGCCGCCACTGGGAGCCCAGCAGTGTTCCTGTGTTCCGACGCCCCCAGGTAGGGTCTGGTTCGCGTCTGGTGGCGCTGCCCGCCGCGAACCTCGGCCCCTGGGTGTGGGGGCGGCGGCGCTGACTTATTTGTATTGTGCACAAATTTTTGTTACTTTGCAAATCTGTAGCATCCCCTTATATATTTTTTGCCGTGAACGGGAGTTTGCACGCTTCTTGTTGCAAAGTTTAAGAGAGAGTTGGAGAAATGCAACTCTGCCCTTTTATGGAGGGAGACTAGAGTTTTAAAATTTATAGAACCGGCTTTGGGGATTTGCGAGTGGACACTTCCCCAATTCTCTTGCATTCCCAATTCCCAGTACTCCCTTGAGGATGATTTTTAAGTCGGAACGGGTCTAGGGCAGGCGGCAGGGCCGAGGGAGGCCAGGGCTGGACGCGTCTCCAGACGGGACTGATCGTGCGCCCCACTCTGTCGTCGCAGGCTACGAGGGTCCCGGTTCTGTGCTGGTGTCCCCTGTGCCGCACCAGATGTTGCCATACATGAACGTGGGCACGCTGTCGCGCACGGAGCTGCAGCTCCTAAACCAGCTGCATTGCCGGCGGAAGCGGCGGCACCGCACCATCTTCACTGACGAGCAGCTCGAAGCGCTGGAGAACCTCTTCCAGGAAACCAAGTACCCGGACGTGGGCACGCGCGAGCAGCTGGCCCGGAAAGTGCACCTCCGAGAGGAGAAGGTGGAGGTAAGCGCGCTTCCCGCGAAACGGGGCGTGAGCCAGGTCTGCCCAGCAGTCTTTGGGTCTCCCTGCGTTTATAAAACCTCCCCGGTGGCGGCTGGAACGCGCTGGTAGGCCCAGGAAGTTGGGGGGAAATGCGGAAGCGGGAACGAGTGTCGCCCCTCAAGTCCTTGGAGGACTCTCGGGGAGGGGGTTCCCGGTAGTGAGTCCTCGTCGGGCCGCCTTGCAGTCCCGACGAATTCCCCGGATAGCCAGGGTCAGGGCGACGCGCGAATTTTATCTTAGTTGTTGTTGTGTTCTCCGTTGCGCAACAGGTCTGGTTTAAGAACCGCCGTGCCAAATGGAGGCGGCAAAAACGGTCATCGTCCTCGGAGTCAGAAAACGCAGAGAAATGGAACAAGACCGCCAAGGCGTCGCCGGCGAAGAGGGAAGAGGAAGGTAAAAGCGATTTGGACTCGGACAGCTGACGGCCGCGGGCCGGCCACGGTACTGGGCTAACTCGAAGGACTTGCATAGACGGACGATGCTATTTTCTTGCACACGCGCTGCCTTGAGGGGAGGGAGGTTGAGAGAAAGAAATGAGTTGTAAATAGTGTACAGACGCCTGGGCCCCAGGCGGCGCAGGGGGTCGTAACCCCGCAGGCCAAGGCCGGCCATTCCCTTGCTCCCCACCGTAGTATTTATAGTTAAGTTAACGGTGACAATACAATAAAATGATGGCGATGTAGACGGGCCATATTCTGTATTTCGTACGTCCTTCCTATCATCACATCCCCACATCAGACTAAGGCGCAGGAAAAAAAAAAAAAAAAGATGCGTAGGCTGCTGTTTTGGAAAGAAAATGGAGCCACTTCAACCTGTCCAAAAAAGAAGGGAAAACAACCGAGTACAAATCAAACACAGGATGGGGAGGCCTAGTGGCCTTGTTTAAAAGTCTAGTCGTCGTCGTGGGGTGGAGAGTGGCGGAACAAGGACTCTTCTCTATGGGAGCCAGAACTGGGGTTGCCCCTGTCCCCCAACCAGTTTCATGCTGCTCCTCAGGCCCTGCTCCATTGAAACCCCAGACCTAAGGCAGCAGGGTCTGCAGGGGAGAAATGAGGTGGGCTATTGCCCACAGTGTCTATACTCGCTCCTAGGCCAAACCCCTCCAGGATTAGCGTTTCCGGCCCAGCTGCCCCTCCGGGCAGATAGGTCTCTTGTCCCTTCCGCCGGGTTTTGGGGAGCTGCTGACTTCCGCCCTTGGGGATCCCGACGCTGGGCCCACCCTGTTTCTCCCCGGGTGTCCAGGGCCCGTCTACCCCTTCTTCTGGGCCAGTCTCAGCTTTCGAGGACCCCTGGTTTCTGCATTGTAGGGGTGCCAGTCTGCAGCTTGGTCAAGACTGGAGAAAGCTCCAGCTGCCAAGATACGCGGCTTTGTCAGGGATGAAGACAAAAGGGTGCCCTCCACAAAGTCCCCCAGGCAGTCAAGGGGTAAGGGTGGGGTCAGGGGCCAGCATGAACGACTTTTACTGCTTTAAACATCCTTTGATTTTTGCATTCAGTCCATTTAACAGATAAGGTAAATCCCTGAGAGCCCTGAAGCTTGGCCGAGGTACCAGCAGTCCCCAATGTCGTTCTTCCTTAGCAATCCTGGAACCCAACTCACCAATGTCATAGCTGTTTACATGGACAGTGTTTTAACTGCTCCTTAGAAGTTTTTAAGGTAAAAGTGCCCTTCTCCCCAGTAAGGAAAGGATCCTTAGGAAAGGTGGAGTGGTCCCCATGCCTGTCTCTGAAAAGGAGGATCCTCTCTGGATAATGAAGGAAGAGGCAGCTGTTTGGATGCCCCCACTGCATAGCAGAATAAGCCTGTGGGTCCCATCAGGGTCTCCATCATATTGCCCAAATTATTTAAGGCTTCTAATCCTCATCTTTTAGAACTGCAAAATAGGAAATATGGTTGTTAGGGACCTTAAAGGGACTAATTTACATAGAATGGTTCCTGGCGTAAGGGAATCCTTCCTGGACTTACAGTTTTTTAAAACATTAGTTACTGCAACAGTGGGCTTCAAACATAACATGCTTGTGAAGATGACAGTGTTCTTGTTAAGAACATAGGAACTCATTTGGCAGCACCTAACAATTACCACGACATATATTTTGCCAGCCCCAAGATTTATGTGCGTTATCTTATTCTCTTGCCGTTTTCCAGATGAGGAAATGAAGGCTCAGATATTTTTACAATATGTATCTCATAAGAAATAAAGTGGGTATAACTTTGCCCAGGTGAATCTTAATGGACTCTAAAGTATGAGAGAAACTTTCAAAGAAGTTAATTTCACATGAAACTATTTGAAGGGTAGTGAATGCATGCACACTCGCGCACACACATGCGTCATTCCTTAATTGATGTAGCTGGCTGGTCTCCTGTCCTCTTGGAGTGGAGTGGGTGAACTGGCCGTGATGAGTCCCTACTTTCTACCCCTCCTCCTGTGCCCTGATTTTCCAGAACATTCTAACAGGACAAAAGCGAGGAGCGTCGTGAGGATGACCTCTCTGGGACTCTCTAAATTGCTATGTGGAGCACTGAGTAGCTATGAGTCGAAAGTGAGTCAACAGCACAATGAACAACAGCAGCATCCATTGCTGTAGAATAAGCATTGGACTGCTAACCATAAACTTGGCAGTTCAAAAACATCAGCCGCTCTGCAAGAGAAAGATGAGGCTTTCTGCTTCCGTAAAGATTTAGTCTCAGAAACTGCATCAGATCAGACTTAACAGCACTCACCAACATCAGTTGCAAAGCACACTGGTGACACTGTAGAATAAGCAGGCTGGCAGTTCAAATCCATCCAGCTGCTCCTTGGGAGAAAGATTAGGCTTTCTGCTCCAGTAAAAATTTACAGCCTTGGAAACCCTATACAGGGTCACTGAGCGGGAACCAATTTAACGCCACCTAACGGCAACAATCTGTTACTTAAGGAGCCCTGGTTGTGCAGTAGGTTAAGTGTTGGGTTGCTAATCCCAAGGTCGGCAATTCAAATCCACTAATCACTCGGCAGGAGAAAGATGAGGCTGGCTGTTCCCATAAAGGGTTACAGTTCTCAGGAACTGTGAAGCAGTTCTGTGGCCTACAGAGACACCAAGAGCAAGAATGAATTTGACGGCAGTAGCCATCTGTGTCTTTCACTTGCCTCAGACTAGCTGTCAAAGTGCGTTTTTAGAGGTTCTGCCTTCTCTGTAGAGGTTCCTGGTAGATGGGGTGCTGAGGGGAGAGGTAGGTTCTCAGACCCTTAACTATGAATACTTAGTGCAAAGCCATTGGAATGACGTATGCTGGACAGCTGTGCCCAGCTGGAGTCAGGGTACCTACTGCTTTGTCCACCTGTCCACCCTGGAAAATGGACCAGCCTCATCATAAGCACCTTGAGTGAGGGGGAAACCAGATGGCCTGTCTAATGACAACTGGGTCCAATCAGCTGTGGGCCTTACACCTTGATCTTAATCTGGCTGGACCAGGGAGCCCATCCTTTGCATATCGGATATTGGAAAGTAGTGTGTACCACGTGTTCAAATATGGTGGGCAAAGTGGTGTCTAAATACATCCCACCCTTGAAGGTGTTCTCCCCATTCTACAGTTGGGCATACTGAGAAAAACTGATCTGCCAGGGATCTGGGCTCTTGGGCTCTCCATCAATCAAACTGTCTCTGCATCCAGTTTTTCCATTTGCTGGTACTACAGAACTCTGCCTAAAAGTTCACCAACTGGGCAGGATTAAAGGAGTCAACACAATTGCAGGGTTGGGTCAGTGGGAGCTGGGTGGGGGAGGCCAGGGGTCGGGGGTACAGCAGTGAAGTTGCCACAAAGTGCCAGGCTGACTCTGGCTGAAGAACAGTTATGGTAATCCAATTCCAATGTTAGTCTAGCACTTTCAGGAGGTGGGGGTGCTGCCCTTTGGGGGAACTGGAGGCTCAGAGAGAAGACAGGATTTTCCCAGAACACATAGTAAGTGATGGAACAGGCCCTGATCCACTCAGACCTGAGTGGTCTCTTCCACAACCTTTTTGGGGTGGTGGTGAGCTTTGGGGTATTGACTTCCAGGTGTTCAGGCTACCAGGTCTGAAAAGGACTCCGGCTGAAAGGATGATTAAAGTGGAGAGTGTGTGCTTATGTGTAAAGAAATGCAGATTCCTAGGTTCTGCAAGCCATGGCATTTTCAATAACCTCATCTGCATGCAAAAGCTGGACAGTGAATAAGGAAGACTGTAGAAGAATTGATGCTTTTGAGTTATGGTGTTGGAGGAGAATATTGAAAGTGTCATGGGCTGCCAAAAGAACCAACAGATCTATGTTGGAAGAAGTGCAGCCAGAGTGCTCCTTGGAGGCCAGGATGGCCAAACTTCATCTCTCATACTTCAGACACATTGTCAGGAGGGACCATTCACTGAAGAAGGATATCATCTTTGGTAAGGTGGTCAGATAAAAAGAGGAAGACCTCCTGAGAGATGGATTGGCAAAGTAGCAGCATCAGTGGGCTCAAGCGTGGCAACAATTGTGAGGTTGGCCCAGGACCGGGCAGTGTTACGTTCTGTTGTGCATAGGGTCGCCATTGGGCATAGAGTCAGTACCGATTTGATGGCACGTAACAACACCAAGGTTCTGCATCTGCTCCATGGCAGGTACATCCTGGCTTTTAGTAGTTATCTTTGCTTGGGGAGAAGAATATTGAAAATGGCAGCCACCAAGAGTCTATTGCAATTCTTTGTTGAATCAAGTTTCGTTTTACTTTCAAAATGCATGCTTTACTTTGCTGCGGGATATGTCTTTTTAATGTATCAATGTGAGATTGAAGTTGGGGGCTTCCTCTTTCTAGTCTCTGCTGTGGACAGAGGCTAGTTTAGGGACAAAGAGTCAGAGTGGACAGAGAACTCTTTTTCTGACTGGTTGATTGTTGTTGTTGTTGTTATGTGCCATCGAGTCGGTTCCGACCCATAGTGACCCTGTATAGGGTTTCCGAGGGTGTAAATCTCTACTGGTATGAGGTTTTAAATGACTCAGTAATAACCCTCAAGTCGATTCTGATAGGACAAAGTAGAACTGCTCCAGTGGGTGTCTGAGATGGTAAATCTTTACAGATGCAGACAGCCTCATTGTTCTTCTTTGGAGCGACTGGTGGGTTTGAACCACCGACCTTGGGTTTAGCAGCCCGATGCTTAACCTACAGTGCCACCTCCCACTACCCTTTGCTCTCATCACTACCTTCATTCTTCCTTAAGTGTCCTGAAGGCGCAGACCCACACCGTGATGAAAACAGAACTCCAACCCAGCATATATACAGGATGATCCTGACCTGGGAACAGCTAGCTGGTGGCTGGCTGTTAAACCCTCCAGGTCCAGGCTTCCGTCTTGATGGGGCCTCCAATTTGCCCAGGGGTCTGGGTGAGGTAATTTAAGCTCCCTGTCTATCAAGTTCCGTCCTCACCTGTAAAAGAACTAGAGTAGAGGATTAAAGATACTATAAGAAAGCGCCCAGCTGAGTGTCTGACACATTTATTACTGTGCTTTGAAAAACAGCCGGGGATAATGCCCTTCGTAAAGCAGATGGGAATTAGGAATTAAGGAATGCACCTTGTTTTTAATTGTTGTTGGTTTAGGAGCTTATGGTTGGCCACTGACACAAATGCTAATGAAATTAAAGGTGATTACCCTTGCGTTTCAACAAGGAATCATCTGATAAGGCATAATAG